TACAATAAAATTATTATTTGTTTGTTCATAGCTATGCTTTAATACATTTTCAAGTGTACTTCATTGGATATTATAAAATTATGTAATATTGTTAAGGGGTAATCTACACTTTGTTGACCTGCTGCAATCAAAGTAACATTAGTGTCAGTTGTATTTGATTTATGCATTTTAAGCTTTTATTCATGTGTGAGGTTTGAGGATGCTTTAAATAGAACCCTCTGTCACTGAATTATTTTTAACCATTAATCTAAATGGATAAAATTAAAATGTTTTTATTTGTGTGTTCTAAAATCTAAATGCTGTAAAATAATTTTTTTTAGATTGGAAAACTGAACGGAATTTTTATGTTAGAAATTAAGTAAGTAAGATAGATGATGTAAAGTTTGTATATTTGAGTTCTGCAGAATTAACTTGTAATTGTAAATGTTAAAAATACTTTGCTTTTTTTTATTAAGACTATTATTTGTCTTGATTGCTTAGCTATAAACAAATATGACAACAGTAGTAATAAATGTAAATTACTCCCAGTTTTCAAGTCATAAACAGCAGTAGCAAGAAAATAATAAATCCTACTACCTTGTGTAAATACATTTACACAAAATATTCACCCTAAATATCTCATTAGAGTCAGGATGGAAGTACAGCAATAAATAAATGAGTCAGTCTGTTGCTGGGCTTTTATCGTTAACAAACGTGCATCAAGTTCTGCAGTTTTGTTTTCTTTCTTTCTTTCTCACACAAGCTACCCTGCCAGGTAGCTGTAGTGTAACGTTACGTTAGCAAAAATATGCCTCATTTTACATCTATAACATGACAGATTATCATAATTTAGGTTCACGTATTTTGCAAAGAGAGCATAAATGATATCGGTTCTCAGCTGCGGACGAGTTTGATTCATACAGCAGGAGTTTTCAGATGCTGCAACATCGATGACGTGCTGTTGTGGAATGCAAGTTCGGCTTTGCAGTGGATGCATTGCACTGTTTTTTTCTGTTTAATTTAAAATGTTCCCAAACTTTGGATAGTTTCTGTCGTTTTCTGGACTGTTCTCCGTTTCCCCCCATAGCTGCAAACACATGCGCGCGCGACAGCCAAAAGCAGAAGCGCTAGCGGAAGCGCTAGCGTTGTGTAACACAAAAACCGTCCGGCTAGAAAAATGAAAGTGAACAGTTTAACGAAGCTTCGAGGCAGATAAATTTGCCTCGAGGATTTTTTGAAATCGAGGTCCTCGAATGATTCGAGGAATCGTTTCAGCCCTAGTGGTTGGAGAAAACAGCATCCCCAATTTCTAACTCGGAAACGGATAAACCATAGGTTAACACTAAATCCAGTGTGTGGCCATGCTAGTGAGTTGGTCCTGCAACATTCTGTACAAAGTTCAGAGACTGGATCAGATCTAGAAAGTCCTGAGTCAGCGGCTTTTCAGGGCAACGGACATGTGTATTGAAATCTCCCAGAATCAAAACCCAATCATAACTGAGTAAGATCGAAGTTAAAAAGGCAGAGAGTTCTACCATGAAGTCCTTATTATATTTGGGTGGCCTGTATAACACAGCAGAAAAAACAGGATTTGAACGGCCCACCTCAAAACACAGCAGTTCAAAGCTCAAAAAAATTAGCTGGTATCTGTACCAGTTTGCAGTTCCAACGTTTTTTGAAAATAGTTAATAATTCACCACCTTTGCCTGATATTCTTGGAGCATTAAAATAAAAACAGTCCAGTGGTAAAATTTCTGACAGGGCCATGAACTCACGACAGGAGAGCCACGTCTCAGTCACGCAGAAGTCGTCCAGACCGGTGGAGGAGAAAAAGTCATTCAAAATGAACGTTTTATTAGCCAGAGACCTGGCGTTTATCAGTGCAATCCTTGTAGGAATCACAGCAGGAGAAGTTGTCCATGAAGTTAAGACCAGTGGTCTCAGATTTGTGGAGTTCGACCCGCAACTCCGACTGGAAGCCCAGCCGCGGCAAACAGGTCCGCTGTGGAAGAGTTTTAGGAGTTAATGACGTTCATAAACCAGCAATGAGTTGATGTTGTAGATGAAAAATGACAAAAACGGAAAAAACACAATCACTGCAGACAGAGGTAGAGGGCAGGCCATGCACAGCAGCGCCATCTTCCCGTAAACCAGTTGATTTAGAGTTCCTACAGCACGGACCAAACCTTCATACTGACTCGGAAGCTTTGCCATGGCCGAAACTGCTGCCGATGTCTTCTTCAAAAGTCCATAAAACAGAGCCCCGCCGATGCCAAAAAGCAGAGTCCCTGCTATCATAAATCCAAATATGTAAATGTCTTCAACATCCTCCTGAGACAACTGAGAGGCACATCAGCTGCCACACTCCCCACGGATACATGACATACCCCACAGCGTGCGTCTCAGCTGGACACACAGGTTCTCCAGGACATTGTCGCTTTGTTGAAAAAAAATCTTAACAATAGAGTTGAATGTCCAGGATACCAGATTCATAATCTTCTTAAATATATTATGCTTGCAGTAATAAAACATCATTCATTTTCTTTACTTGCTTCACCTTTTTATTTATTTATTTAACCAGGTAAGTCCCATGAGATCACTGATCTCTTTTGCCAGGCATGCTAACAGGCATGGGGAGAACATGCAAACTCCACCCAGAAAGACCCAAGGTCCAGCCTGGGGATTTAAATCAGTACCTTCTTGCTGTGAGGCAGCATTGCTAACCACTGATCCATCGTGCTGCTGACCTTTCTGTGTATCCAACAGTCACTGTGCAAGAGGTGGCGTACATCTTGCACAGGTAGAAATAAAATTTTATGGACAATAATTTATCACTTTCAAGTCTAGGCTGATTTGGTTCTGGCTTTTGAACGTCGTGGGCCTGCAGCCATGGCTAAAACCTGCTGTCCTCGTAGCATAAGAAAATGTATTGTTCTTGCTACTCAACGTCAGATCTGCTTGTTGTCTGAACATTTTTCACACCATTAGCTGCTGGTGTGTGTCCATCGGCCGGTCTGGGCTCATCATGTCCGTCTCCGGCTGCAGCTTCACCTGATGCAGAGAAGCCACTTGTTGTAAATAAGACACCTGATTGCAGATGTTGGTGCAGGTGTTTGAGGAGGTACTGCTGGCATTTCTAAACAAATGTAGGTGGAGATTTTGCTGAGCCACGTCCTCCAGTGACAAACTGCTGCAGAAAAGATGAGCTGTGGCAGTTGGAGACCACATGTTGATGTTGAGATGTTAAAAGAACCAGAAAAGAATAAACAGGTTATGAAAACCACGGCCTGTTTTTGCCTGCACACGTAGTTTTGTTGTGCCCCCCCGCATCGCGACTGCCCTGGCTCATTTTGTACCCTCCTTGGTAGCTGCCCCCACGTTGATTTAATCTGCTGGAGTGCACTTGTGGACTGAACGTAAACTAATTTTGACCAGTTTGTTGATTATTCGTCATCAGTGGTTTTCTGGCGTGGATGTTCGCTGCAGATGTTTTCTGTCTGAGTGCAGCTGTGGTTCTCTTGGTACGGGTTGGAGATGCCAACAACAGCTGGCTGTCTTTGAGAGAAATATTGCACAAGAGCAACAAAAAGGTTAAATCACATCATCTGGACCAGTTCACTGTGGTCTTAAACACAGTGAAGGCTGCCTCTGAGACAGATCTGGTTGGCAGGCTGCAGACTGACAAAGTCCTCTGGATGGGGGACGACACATCTTTCAAAGACACTGGTCCAGATGACACAGTTTAACCTTTTTTGTTGTTCTCTACCTGATGATTGAGCTGACAAATATTGCACATTTTTTTATGTTTGAAACTCAGATGACTGAATATCCTGATGCATGCTCAATCCAGGTAGAAAAATCTAAAAAAGTTAAATCTGGTCATCTGAACATTCAAAAAACAAAACAACAAAAAAATGTAGAAACGTTTCGTCTTTCATCCGAAATACTTCATTTGTCTGAGGTGCTGTATTCAGCTCAGTCTTATAAATAGCACCTTCTCAGAGTGGATCAACCAGTTTTGCTGCTGACAACAGCAGTTGGTTTTGGTTGTCAGCAGCAAAACTGGTTGATCAGATGACTGAAGTGTGAGCCTCTGACTCACAAAGAAACTGAAAACCACCATCAACGTTGCAAACATTCAGGATGGTTCAGTTCAAATCGGTTTATATGGTAAATGGACTTTACATATTTCTATCATTTCAAGACACTCAAAGCGCTTTACACTACAATCTGTGTCCTCATTTACCCATTCATACAGCACTCTACTAGATCATTACAAAGCTAATTGAACAAATCATTCTAAAGAGACTAATTGCTGCTTTAGATCACATTTATACACTGATGGGACACACATCAGAGGTTATGAGGGGTTAAATGTCTTGCCCAGGGACACTTAGACATGTGACTGCTGGTGGATTCGAACCCCCAACTTTCGCATTGGAGGACGACTGCTCTAACCACTCAGCCACAGCCGCCCCGGTTTATGACGACTTAAGATGTTCAGGTTCACATTCAGATGATCACATGCCGGCTGAGTCGGTGTTACAGCTTCACGTGTCCCACATGAGTATAATCTTAGTCCCAGGCTCTGGATCTGATCACTGTAAACACTGGAGCTGACCAACATCTGATCTGCTGCTGCATTAACTCACGCACAGTATTAATATTGTGTCGCCCACATTCTCTAACAGCTTTAATAAAGTACTGACCGCAGAACAGAAGGAAGCTGTAAGAGATCTAGCAGGCCTTTGAAAACTTGCAGAACAGTGAAGGTGAACAAACTTGATGCTGCATTAAACATGTTTTCCAGTCATTCAGGCTGTGGATGAGTCAGGAACATGATCAGCAGCAGTTTCAGTCTGTTTACCTGCAGCGCTCGCTTTTATCCATCGCTCACATATTCGAGTTAACGTTCAGTGATCATCGTAGTAAAAGTGTACAACTTGGCTTTACAGTGTTGTGTTGTCTTACATCGTCCACACGAACTCTGAAGTAAACAGTTTGTTGTTCTCCAACAACAGAGAATGGAACAAAGTATCAGGAGATGCTGAAGGAGATGACTGGACAGCAAACAGTTCCTCAGGTTTTCATCAACAAGACGCACGTTGGTGGTTGTGACAAAACCATGCAGGTGAGATTTTAATGTCTTCAGTGCACGTGCGCACACACACGCAGTATTTCATTTCTGATTGATCGGTTCCATTTCCTGTTTGTGCCACTTTGTGCAGAGGAAGGTGCTACAGGAAATACTTTTGTTTTGAAAGAACTGGAGCATGTAGTAATTCAGTGGTTGCCTTTTCTTCCTCCCTGACCCCCCCCCCCCCCCCCCCACACACACACACACACACATTTGGTGTGATGACACGTTGTTCTCATGCATTGATTGAAACGTCCTGTTCATGTTTGCATCAAGGCTCATAAAGATGGCAGCTTACAGCAGCTACTGCAGAATGAGAAGGAAGCTTTCGACTACGACCTGATCGTCATTGGAGGGGGGTCTGGAGGCCTGGCCTGCTCCAAGGTTCATCTGATAAATGTCTTTTACCATAGCTGTGAAATATTTGCAGCAGATCGTTGTTGTGAAGCTACAAGTAATGATCCAATTCTGTTGAGCTGCTTCACTTTTGCGAGCTCCTTTAACTTGTTCTAGTGTTGAATCGATTTGGGGGGGGGGGGGGGGGTTGTAAACAAGAAATACTACTAACACTGTCTCCTCTGACAACAGGAAGCTGCTATCTTGGGGAAGAAGGTCATGGTATTGGACTACGTTGTGCCCACACCAAAAGGAACTTCTTGGGGTAAGACGTGTCCTTTTCTGACGTTTTGACCTGATCAAGTAGCAACATGGCTGCCTGGCTCAACACATTTGATTGTTATGCATTATGGGTTTGAATCTCTGTTTCAGTTCAATTCCTGTTTTTGGTGTCACGATTTGATTCAAAATCGATTTTTCTATTGAAATGGTCATAAATTTTGTTTCAGTTATGTAACTGACCAGATGAAGAGTAAACAACAATGTAAACAAATAGAACATTTATTTAAAACAAATAATTTTAGGTTCTTTACTTTATCAAATGTTTTTGCATCATTTTATATTTATACCAAAAAATAGGAACAAATTTAGGAGTGCATAAAATTCTGTAACTTAAATTAACAGTATTAGTTTAGCTGCCTGGCTTTTTCTAAAATAAATAAAAATATCTAGGAATAAATATTTCATCCATCTGTCATCCATCCATTATCTTTACGCACTTCTTCCTTTACAGGTCACGGGTATCACTGGTTCCCATGTCCAGCATTCACTGTGTGAGAGGCAGGGGACACCTGGACAGGTCTCAAGTCCATCACAGACAAATAATTAAAAATATATGAATACAAAAGTAAACAGACTTCAGCCTACCATAGTGCATTAACCTTTAACTCAAAATAAAATACAGACTTCAGTTTTTTTAACCATATTGCTCTAACATTTTCTATATTTTCAAAACTTTACCTAAAATAAAATATACAGACTTCACAGTCTTAACCATACTTATTCATATTTGTTAAATCTTTTAACAAATTTTCAAAACCTGTGCAAATCTGCACAAAAACTTCTGAATTGTAATTTATAAACCATAAACTGTATTATTTAGAACTGGCTCCAGGTGATGTGTCATCTGTCCTCTCTTAAACCTGTTAAAAAGACTACCATACCATACCATACCAATTTATTTATAAAGCACTTTAAACAGTGACAAAGCACACCAAAGTGCTGTACAGGGACAAACAGAACAAGCACACAGCAACAGATTACATAACAGGACACCAAAAAGTAGAAACCAATAAAAACAATAATGGATAACAACAACAACCGCAACATGACCAACACAGTGTGATGCACACAGACTCAGCACAGATCACACAGTGCTGAAAGCCAGGGAATAAAAGTGTGTTTTTAAGCGAGATTTAAAAACTGTGAGGGAGGGGGCCTGTCTAACGAGCAGAGGTAACTCATTCCAAAGTCTTGGGCCTGCTACAGAGAAGGCCCTGTCACCTCTGCGCTTGAGACGGGTTCCTGGGACTGTTAGGAGCAACTGGTCTGCTGATCTGAGAGAACGTGGTGGGACATACGGCTGGAGCAGATCAGTAAGATAGGAGGGGGCAGAGCTGTTTAGTGATTTATAGACATACAAGAGTATTTTGAATTTGATTCGAAGGTGAACCGGAAGCCAGTGTAGTGAGGCCAAAACAGGTGTAATGTGCTCTCTTTTGCTTGTACTGGTCAAAAAACAGGGCTGCTGCATTTTGGACCAGTTGAAGTCTAGCTATGGAGGTCTGACTGATACCAAAAAGGAGTGAGTTGCAATAGTCGAGCCTGGATGTAATGAATGCATGAATTACTGTCTCCAGGTTATTTTTGGACAATATGGGCTTCAGCTTAGACAGTCGCCTTAGCTGGAAAAAGCAGGATTTAACAATTATATTTACATGATTGTTGAGTTTCAGAGAAGGGTCAAGTATCACTCCTAGATTAGTGGCTCTTTGTTTCAATAGCGATGACAGAACGGATAGGTCGATGCAGTGGTTGGTGATCGTGTCATTGGAAGGAAACAGCATAACTTCAGATTTCTTCTCGTTAAAACTCAAGAAATTTAAAGCCATCCAATCTCTGATGTCAGCCAGGCAGTCCAGTAACGGTTGAATAGAGCGAGTACCGTTGAGTCTGAGGGGGAAGTTGATTTGGCAGTCGTCGGCGTAGAAATGAAAAGGTATGTTATGTTTCCTGAAAATAGCACCTAGTGGCAGCAGGTATAAAGAAAATAAAAGAGGACCATGGATGGACCCTTGCGGTACCCCCCATTTAAGCGCTGCCAAGGCTGAACTAAAATTTTTGATGGAGACACAAAAGGACCTGTCAGCGAGGTAAGATCTAAACCATTCGAGGGCTGACCCAGTAATGCCCACCCACTGCTCTAACCTCACAATGAGGATCTCGTGGTCGATTGTATCAAAGGCAGATGTGAGGTCCAGTAAGAGAAGGAGCACAGAATCACCAGCGTCTGTGAATAGGAGAATGTCGTTTAAAACCTTGAGTAGAGCAGTTTCAGTGCTGTGGAGAGGTTTAAAGCCAGACTGGAATAGCTCTAAGATGGCATTATCCTCTAGAAAGCATTTCAGCTGGGACTCCACTATTTTTTCCAGTAGTTTAGCGACAAATGGGAGTCTGGAGACAGGCCTGAAGTTGGACATGACTGAGGGGTCAAGGCTAGGTTTTTTTCAGGAGAGGTTGGACAGCAGCATGTTTAAAAGTTATTGGCACCACACCTGAGGCTAAGCTGCTGTTCACAATGCCAAGAACAGGAGGGCCCAGAACAGGAAGAGGCTCCTTGAGGAGTCGAGGGGGGACAACGTCAAAAGGGGAGCCAGATGGCTTCAAGCCGCACATGACCTGCTCCAGGGAAGACAGAGAGATGGGCTCGAAGTGGTCAAGAACAGCAACACAATAAGATGGGATGGACGGATCATGAGCAGGTGGAGAAATGTGTGCCCGGGTGTTTGCAACTTTTTCAGAAAAGAAATGGAGGAAGTTATCACACAGCTCAGTTGAGGCTTCTAGAGGTGAAGGTTCACTGAGGTGTAGAACTGAGTTCAGGGTGGAAAAAAGGGCTCGGTGGTTGTGGGAGTTTGAGGAAATTATCGCAGAAAAGAACTTCGATTTGGCGGCTTTAACTGCCTTCTGATAATGACGCCAACTCTCCTTTAGGATTTGAAAAGAAACCTGCAGCCTGTCTTTCCTCCTAGACTAATTACATTAAGTTTGTTGTATAACTTGTCTGTATAAGTTTTAGTATAATATGAGAAAAAACAGTTACCCTTTGAGCTGCAGCTCATCAGAGCTTCCCCCACTTTGTTCTATTTCATGGTGGAGTTCTGCTGCAGTTTTATCACAAAAAAAAAGCTATGTGAAGGAATAACGTACGTTGGGTCCAGCGTATTCAAAATAGGGATGCACCGATCCACTTTTTTTTTTTACTTCCAATCTCGATACTTAAAGCTAAATATCGTCTGATACCGATCCAGTTCCGATATCATCGTCATTGATTTTATTTGAGGCTGTAATCTCCTCAAGTACAATTTTTACAAATATATACATGCATGTTCGTTCACCATTCTCTGTTCGTCTGTTTCTCCTTCCTGTCCTCTCAACCAGCCGGTCAAAGCAGATGGCCGCTTGTCCTAAGCCTGGTTCTGCTGGAGGTTTCTTCCTTTTAAAAGGGAGTTTTTCCTTTCCACTGTTGTCTGTCACTGTGCTTGCTCAGGATGGGAGACTGCAACAAAGCCAAGATTCAACTTGTCTGCTGGATTCTTTAGATAGAGAACTTTACTAATTGACTTTTATGTATGTGAATGTTCCTGTAAAGTGCCCTGAGACAACTTTGTTGTGATTTGGCTCTATATAAATAAACTGAATTGAATTGAATTGCATGTCCAAAAAGGCAACTTGAGGTAAGTTTTATTAATGTTGGATAAGTTTTAGTTAGTATTAAATTCTGCTAACACAAAACATGTTTTTTTTTTTATTCCTAGCTTTAAAGTGGATATTAAAGTGATTAATTTAAGTGATTGTTTAAAGTTATTTTATATTTTTTTAAATAAGGGGCAGGTATAATATTTTTCTTCTTTCTGCACTCTTTTCATTCAATACTTTCTTTTTGATGAAGTTGTTTTGTTTCTTTTAAATAAATGAATAAAATAAAATGTTAAATGGCTTTAAACATCTGCTAAGTTCATGGCATAAACTAGTCCTTCTCAAATAGTGGGGCGTGCCCCCCAGGGGGGACCCGGAGCAATGTCGGGGGGGGGGGGGGGGGGGGGCGCATGTGACCCCGAGGAACATTTTGCAGCAGGGAGTTCTATGTCGTATAAGCTTCGCCCTTTAAGGCTGTCGCTGATGGGTTTATCCCGTTATGCGCAGCATAAGCACTGAAAAAAATTTAGTCCACGCCCACCTGCTGTGTGGGCCCCACCCGGTCCGTATAAATTACGTTAAGAGCGGGAAATCGGCTCCCATTTTTTCTTCAGCGAGCTAATATAGCACTGTCAGAAGAACAAAGAAGGAAAATTGTGTAGATGACCAACCTTTGTTAAGGATGCTTGGCCCGGCAGTCGACCTCCGGTCGTCCGGTGAGTTCTCCTCCCCGAGGAGAAGATGACGAGTAGTCCTATTCAAGGTAAGCGCCGAGGAATATTTCCCAATGACAGGTTACTACACGCTGGACAACGCCATCTTGTATTTTTTCCTCTTATCGCCGACCCTCGGAGCGAATCGGATGGTTCCTCTGTAGATGAACATATGCATGATATATTCATAAATTAAACGGATTCTTTCATTTTTCTGGACTGAGTAATAACGTGCATTGAATAATTAAAAAATGTGGACGGAAACGTTAATTATCTTTGACCCATCAAAATGAACGTGGTCATTTATTAACAGAATCAAGTTTAACACATCACACATTTACATTAATTGGCAAAAATTGAAAATAACAACAGCTTATTTAGCAAGTTTTACAAGGAGGGAACAATACGGCGATTGTTTCCCTGCTTCACAACAGACATTTCTAAAAATATCTGGATTAATTTGCTAGCAGATAGAAGAATTTTAAAGATGGAAAGATGAAGTTTAGAGGGAGGGAGATGAAAAGATGGACGAGGGAAAATGTTTGTGTCGGCATCAGAACGGCACTCTCCGGGTTTTTCCCAGCTTCTTCCCCGGTACACTTAGGTGGTATAAATCTCTTTTACCTGGAGATGT